AAGTGTTTCTAACCTAAAACAGACATTCCAGTTGAAACCATACCTTAAATGGTGATTCATTTTACCTTTATTTCCCAAAGCCTTTTTACTCTTGTACATGTAAAATCCTATAATGCACCATCCATTATATCTCCAAGTCCATAAAGAAGCATTCTCACCATTGAAGGTCCATCTCACCAATATCACCAAAACTGGCAGTAAAGATCATGCCAGATGCTGATAACAGCTCTGTACAACTGCCAGAGGTGTGATCAGGATGATTTTGGCTCTAGGCAGGTTTATTATGCCTCATAGCAAGAAACCTGGGGTTCGGCAGCAGGGTTAGTTAATTTGGAGTTAGCAGTTGTCTTAATCTTATGATCTCCTGGAAAAACTGGAAAATGAGGAAAAAAATCTCATAAATTTCAGCTCACAAGCATCCTCTCTGGAGCTTTTCCTGACAGTCTCCCTCCCCCTAAGAAGAAAGCACTAGTGTCTCCTCTACTCCAATCAGCTTTTCAGAGTCCCCATGATACTTGAACTTTCTCTCCTGATGCTCCGCTCTCCTGAAATGTGTCCTTTGGAGGCCAGCAGTAATGTATGTAGTCCATTTTGTGAGTCTATTACCCAGAATACAAGAGGCCCAGTAAATATTTTTGAATGAATTGGATCAAGGAAAAATGGATAAGAAATGGCCAATGATAAACATTTACCCAGCACCTATCATATGCTAGGCATTACACAAAACCACGTATACCAATTAGACTTACTCCTGTACCATATCAGGAAGAAGCCTCTAGTAGCTTAGTTTTTTGTTTGTTTGTCTGTTTTGGGTTTTTTTTTTTTTTTTGAGAGGTTTTTGCTATAGGGTGTGTGCACTCGCCAAGAAGACAGAGAGAGACAGAGAGACAGAAGGCGAGAAATCACCCCCCAGGGAGGATGGCCACACCACAATCCCTTTTCCTCCATTTTCCTCTCAGGATCTTGAGCACGCATGCACATGCACCTGGTGTGAGTTTAAGCCACCAGGTCCGGGACTCGAACCACCGTCGACTACATGGGAGTCCAGAGACATATCCATTACGCTAACTGCTGGTCCCTGAATATGTAATTTTTGTGTGTTCTACATTGTGAGTTTTGGAGTCCATGTGGAGAGGCTCTCCTTGTTCTTGTTCCACCAATGCAAAGTGAAAATTACAGAGGCCTGTGGCAATGCCCAAGTTAAATAAGTTAACTTAAGACAACTTAGTGTAGACTCCATCTTGACAAACTGGCCACAGAACAGCCAACTATGACAAATGATGCTGCAGTCAGAGAGGGCCGGGCACGGATGATTTGTCAGCATGTGCACACACCCGGAGTGAGTTTAAGCCACCAGGTCCGGGACTTGAACCGTGGTCGACTGCATGGGAGTCCAGAGACACAGCCATTACGCTAACTGCTGGTCCCAACCTTAGTTTTAAATCTAAGAAAACTACATCAGAGAGACCAATCACTTGTCTAAGGTCACAAGTTAGGAAGTGACAAGTGCGTGACTAGGTTCCTGAGAATGAACTCTAGAATCCAGTGTTCTTAACCTCTACACCCGAAGGGAGGATGCTCCGCTTGCATTAGATGGAGACCTCTCCAGTGGATCCTAATCAGGAGAACAGCTGGGAAGGGTGCTGCCAATTGGCAGGACTTGTTTTTTAGACTTCTGATGACTTTTGCATTCTTGGGCTTTTTAGGGGGACAGGGAAATAGGCATAGTTCAGTGATATAAGGAAAGGTGGAGAAGGGGAGAAACAAAAAGCATTTTAAAGTCCTACCCACTGGGGCCAGCCAGTGGCCTAGTCCTTACGTGAGTTGGATCCCATTTGGCTGACCACTAGGTTTGAGTCCCAGACCCAGCGGCTTGAAAAGCACACCGGGCACTTGTATATGCATACTCAAAAACCTGAAAGAAGGGAGAGATGGAGAAGATTGTGGTGTGACCATTCCTCATGAGGGGTGATCTCTTGCTTTCTTTCTCTGTCTCCCTCACAGAAACACACACACCCACTGGCATAATGTAAATAAAGTTCTACCCCCAAAAGGTTAGAGCTTAGAATGGAACTCTGCAATCATGGGCAAGAGGAGTAAGGTTAATACTTCAGTTATGGTTTACACACGACATGCAATTACCATGCACATGCAAATACCCTGTCATGTAGATGGGAGCACCACCATCTGCTCTTCTCATATGGACAAACCAAGGCCTGGAGAGGAATTACGGCTCCAGTTCTATCTTTGGTCCTCTCTTATCCCAGACACAGGTCATTAAATGTCCATCTTTCCCCAACCTATCCCTCCTTTCTATAGCTCTTAGTCTGGTCAATGGAGCGCTCACTTACCCAGCTCCGTACGCCAGAAAACCTGAAGATCTCCCGAGTCCTTCTCTCCTTCACACCCAATTGGTCAGAGTTTTTTGGATGCTATTTCCTAAATATACACTCAGTTCATTCATGCACTTGATATTCATTGTATGCCAAGAGTACATATGATGATGACCTCGATGAAGCCCACTCCACTTCAGCTTCAAGAAGCTGACCATCTTGAGAAGGGCATTTTGCTACTAACCCATTCTTCAGTTGAGGAGTAAATGCAAGAAAAAGGTAAGTAGAGTGCTGGGAGGGAACACTGGAGGGTTTTTCTCTTGACAATGCCCAAGCTGAAATATATGTGGAACCCAATGAAGGAGGCAAGGGGAGGGGAGGTGGGAACCCAGTAGGGTGGGAGAACTGGAAAGGACTGCAGGGATTCGCCTCCCTGCGGGCCCCCTGCAGGCCTTCATCCAGTAGCCACCCTACCCACCTGCTGTCCACTCTGGAGTAAAAGCCAGGCACTGTGCTTCCTGCCTCTGGAGGTGCCCAGATGATCTCTGATTACTGGTAGTTCGTTTGTGGAGTACAAATTGAGCCCCTCTGTGCAGGTGCTCCCCAGGTCCTTAGAGTCCTTGACCTATTGGAGAAGACAGCCCAAGAGGAAGCAATTCCGGGAGTCCTGGAGGCTGTAAAACCATAATGGAAGCTGACACTTAAGATGTTAACGACCCTTATAAGGACTCATCACTCCAGCTGACTCAGGCCCTCCACGCCTGGGGTCTCCTGGCCTGCCACGTGAGGGATAACCAAGTGTTGTACTCACTGCCCAGAATGCCCCTCAGCCAAGGTCCCTGCCTGTCTGGAGCCACCTCCAGCACGGGCGTCCCCACCGTCATCAGCGCGCCGCTCTGCCAAGAGGGCTGTGGCCAGAGAGCTTCGGCAGGCAGATGCCTTCCCGCAGCGGGGCGCACCTCCCCAGACCCGCTCTCTCCCTAAGTGACCCCCAAGCCCTAGCCAGACAGCACAGCCCAGAGGCCTCAGGGACTCTCCCCCACGACGGCGGGAGCAAACGCTCTTCTGGCTGGCCTTGGCCAGGGGGTCGCACTCTGCGCCAGGGCCCCTCCCGCAGCCCCTGCGGGGACGTGCA